ATCGTGTCACTTTGTGAATAGTAGTAGTGCTGGAGGACTCCCACTCAACATCTTGACCATTAGCCTGTGGAGTGTCTCAGGGTTCCATGATTCCCTACACTATTTCACATATACATGAAAAACCTGAAAGAGGCCATCCAGAATTTTGTGGTCTGGTGTCACCAGTGTGCTGATTACACTCAATTCCATCTGGTTTTTAAGAACTTCAAGGAGGCCCTTCTCTTAGTCTCTCAGGCCCCAGTGTGTGATCACCCAGCATACACACATGCTATTTCACAGTAAAATATACAAGGGCCTCATTTAATCCAGAGTGAGCTTTTTTTAGAAATTGGAATAGACCAGTCTGTTACATCCTATTTCTGCATAGCCAGGGTGCATGTGTTGCATTTAAACGGCAAATAGTTCGCCCAAGGTTTCTAGGAGACATGAAAAATTGAGAGGCTGTGGTGCAGCCTGTCATGAATTTGATTATGAGAGTTGAATAGAGATTTATTTGTATAGGAGCAAAGTTAAGTTAGAAATCCGTTTGTGACCAGGTGCGAGTTAAAGAGATTAAGAATGGCCAAGGTCAGTTTCTTTTTCAGTAGAGGAAAAAAGTTATGAAGAACAAGGTGACCGTTATCACGTCGCCAGGCAACTATCTCACCAGACGGAACAAGGACATAACTTCTTGATTTAAGAAATGAGACGAGAGAAGACAGCCTAGAAGATGGACGGAGAGACAGCCTGGACGTCTGCCCGAACACAGTGAGAAAATTCCAGCAAGGAGGAATGAATTCCAGAGGAAAAGCTCCGAATGAACTTTTATTTTTCAAGCTAACAGTAAGACAGATCTCTGTTCTAAAATGTAGTTAGCTGTTTATTATTTTGGTTTTTGTAGAGGAAAATGCCTTGTGGTGATGGCTGGGGTTTTTTTGGAAATAATTGATTATGAAAAGATATCTTGTGTGCTTGCTTAAATTCATTTACTAATTTCTATTTTTCTAATAAAATATAAAAAGTCTAACTGTCTGAATATTGGCTTCTTGCATAGACCATTAGCTACTATAGTTCTTTAGCTACTTTAAATTGATTTCTTTAATCAGGCCACGTTTATTTAATGCTACCAATTTAGGGTCCTACCTATTAGAGAGGAGGAAGATTAAATCTTCTAGAACTCCTGGATGTTGTTTATTTAAAATCAGTTCAGACATGGGAGAAGGGGTGAAACAGTTGTCTAGGGTAAAATTAAAGGACCCAGTTTTACCTGATTAGGAACTGATCATTCCGGACCCCTCTCTGGGTTGTGTAAAAGCAGATTCTTAGGAAGCTCGCTTTTACGACACAGCCCACCAAACATTGGGGGGGGGGACTCAGAGCTGTTATAACACACATTCAAAGAATCAGAAATTTTATATTTCTCATGGATACCCATAAGCAGATACCATTCATCTTTCTTTAGCTTATCCATCTACTTCTTCCGTGATCATGTGACTTGATACATCCTTATAAGTGTTGTGTGTCAAGAAGTTATAGATCTTTCATGGCCATGTCACTGGCATGAAGATTAATGTTATCTTTATTAGATAGTTCAGGAATGGGAAGTTTTTCGCTTCCCATGTGTACTGGAGTTATAATACCTGTAATTTTCTACCAGTGGCTATGCCGGTTGGGGATTCTGGGAGCTGGACTCAAAATACAGTATTTGACTCAATGGATTTGGTGTTCATACAAGAACACTGTTGTTTTTCCCACTGAATTTTTAAATTGATGAAACATAAAACACATAACCGTAAGGTTATTTTTACAAGTAGAATTTCAACTGTCTTATAGAGTGCTGTAAATTCCAGGGTGAAATTGGCAGGGGGTGGGGTGACTGGATGACTACACAATGGAACCTCAGAGACTGAACTATTTGCACACTTGTGCAGCCATAATCAGTGCACCTGATCAAATGCATTGTCAGGACAAAACTGCCAGCATGTTCCAGCATGTACTGCTGGACTGGTACAGCTGTTGAACTGTCTTCTTGTATTTCATCTACCAAGCACTGAAGTAGTGTATCAGGAGGAAGTTAGAAACAACTCGTGTTGGTGTCTGTAAGATGTTTGGGTGACTCTAGAGAAAACTACAGGTGTCCAGTCTAGTCGAGTTTGTGTGTCTGACTTTCTTCTTTTTTCAGAAAAAACTGATGATTTGGTGCTTTTCCATCTGCCCATCTGGTACTTTAGAATCAGTGAAATTGACTGATTGATACTGATGAGAATGATGCTAGTGAGGCTTCCTTGTACCAAACTGACAATGATGGCTTGGGCATCAGCAGTGAGGCCTGGTAAGTCAGATGCACTTCTAATAGTGATGTAGTATTGGCAGCCCTTACAGATGGGATCAATGTTATCAGGAATTTCATGATCCTTGGTGATTCACGTATCAGTTCAGCTGTTCCAAAGAGTTGTCATTGCTGCTGAAGTCAAGGTTTTCACCTCAAGCACCTTATCAAAAAGAAAGGAATCAGAGTTGGTGCGCCTAATTCTTCTTCCTTGCGTGGAGAAGTCCAAAGAAATTTAACAATAGCACTTTTTTGTGCCTCTCCTAGATAAAACAGGTATTTCTGGAAATGACTAAGGGGAATCTAACACACTCCAAAGGATTCCTTGGTACTTTATGTGTTGCTAGATTCCCGCAAAATACACGTCCCTGAAGTTAAGGAGGGGGACAAGTCTTAAGAAGGGAGCTTAAGTTGGTAAGAGAGAGAGAGAAGATAAGGAAGATGGAAGCTTGGGAGAGAGATGCTGGTATAAACCTTTCCAGAAGGAGAGGAGGAAGCGACTCCGACATGGAATGGAACAAATCCTGATGCTCATATAAGAGGAGAGTCATCATGAGAGATTCATGACTGTTATATCCTAGTTAGAAAATAACAGCATCCTTAGCCTATAGCATTGTGTCTGTAGCTTGACCTGTGCCTTACCTTTTGTGCCTTGAATGCAATTTGAAAGCTGAACTATTTTTACCTTCTTGCTTTTCTTTTTTAATAGTTACTTTTTAAAATGGACTCCTTGTCCATAACTCATTCATTGCAGTGTCCTCGTTAATCTAATCCAGCAGCCAAGACCTTGATTGCACTAGTCCGTAGAGCATGTACAGAGTGCCAAGGTTTATACCAAGTGAATAAATCTAGAATTGAACTACAGTGGTGCCCCCTTGATGATTACCTCATTAGACGAGGAAATCGCTTAACGATGAGTATTAAAACGCTTGACGATGATCGGTTCCCTGCTTTGGGAACCGATTTTCCACTTTACGACGATCAAAACAGCTGATCGTCGGGTTTCAAAATGGGCGCCCACTGTTTCAAAATGGATCCCTGCTGTGTTTAGGAAGGCTTTTTCGCTGTACAGGCACCGGAAAATGGCCGCCCTATGGAGGATCTTCGCTGGACGCTGAGGTATTTCGCCCATTGGGATGCATTGAACTGGTTTTCAATGCATTTCAATGGGTTTTTTTACTTTTGCTTGACGACAATTTCGTTCTATGATTTTGCTGGAACGGATTATCCTCGTCAAGCGAGGCACCACTGTACATTAACTGGAATTCTGAAGGGGAGTGGAGGCAGCATGGAAACAGAGACCACATGGAATGCTGAGGCTGCAAGGAGCCAGCCAGTGTTTTCCCTTACCTGACACAAAAATGGTTTAGCTAGCCCCCAGCCATTCCATTGCACCATCTATTAAGAATGCTCCTTTGAGTACCAAGCTTGGGGGTGGCAGCAATGTGTTCCCTGCATAATTAACTTGTAAACCACCCAGAGAGTGCTACAAATGCTATGGGGCAATATATAAGCAGCACGCTTTGCTTTGCTGGTTATGTTCGTGAAACAATTTCTTCTTGTCACTGTACTACTTTTTGTGCTACTTATTTTATTTTTGATGTACAAATATGGAGAAAAGACAGAGATACAGCTTTACTTATTCATACTCAACCAAAGCTATCACAAATACTTATTACCCCCCAAATTAAATTCTATATAGTAGCTCTGTCTATAAGAGCATTACACTTTCACTGAAGGGATGAGCAATCTCAGTCAAGGTAAGGGCTATTTTTCAGATTTGCCATCAGCCTAGGGGCTATGCATCAAAGAGCTAAGGCTAACAAGGCCAATTTGCATTTTTTTTAAATGATGCAATCATTACATACTTCAAAACTTGCTATATAGAATTCTTAATCTAACAGTGGCAGGTTGATCTGAAAAGTCTCCTAGTGGCTCCAGTGGAAATTATTAATTCTTTAAAAATGGAGGAAGGAATGGTCTAATCATGCTGGGGATGCTCAAGACATGGAAAATATGCCCTCAAAACTCCCAAGAGGACACAAAGAAATGCTCAGAGAAATTTTCCCTGCTAAATTCTACAGAATTATTTTGAGGGGAAGAGATGATGCAAGAATGGTCATAGAAGACTGTATGGAGTGCCATGCAATACAAAAAAAAAACAATTCACACCATAACTGCTCGAAGTCCATGCCACCTCTGACTACAGACTTTATAATACCATTCAGTACCAATTTCTAGAACAATTTTCCACACAAGGTGAAGAAAATATACAATACATACAGCAGAGGCTCATGAAGGACATCATGAAAAGGAAATGGGAGGGCACTGGGCAGGTGCTTCATTTAGCCACTAACACTTGCTACAACTCCTACTGCTTAACAATGGTTCATTTTTTTAAATGATTCAATGTAAAGAAATGTTTGTCATTATGTTAGTGTTCTCCCTCAAGTATCTGAAAAAAATTAATTCCAACACTTTCTGGCATATCTAATATTTGTATGTAAGAATAAAATTGGTTAATTTTATCAAACTGTCAGATATGTCAGATTGCCTACCTATTTATAAACCTTCAGTAACATGATGGCTATGATAACGTTACAGCACATTGGAAATATGAGATCAATAATTTCACAGCATATTCATTTGCTGGTGATAATTTCAATTATTTCAATGTCCATGTTTCACTTACCATAAAATTTTGTTGAAGGGGAGACCAAGAATACATTATGGGTACCGAAGCAACAGCATTCAGAGTCTTGAGAGGGATTACTTGTTTTGGAAAATCTAAATCACTAGTCACAGAACACTGAGAAAAGAGACAGAAACGCACTATTAGTAGTAAATTATTTTCAAGGTAGATAATGCAGAAGCAGAAATACAGTTATACATATTAAAAGGGATAAGACAAGCAGTTTCACTTCAATAGCAAAAAAATAGGGTTAAACAGACATTTGCTTTCATTATTACTTATTTCTTATTTCTACTTTCCTCTCATTTTTCCTCTCGCTTAGACTGATACATGCATGCATGCACACATAATTACAAAGCTGTTCCTTGCTTAAGTAAAATGGTGTATCTTAATAATTGTCCAGGCAAACAGGGATGACAAACAATTAGTATAATAGTACACTTAAATACTATGTGCAGGTAATCTGAGGCAATTTGTTTTATGAGGGAGGAAACAGATGCTTCAGAAGTAAGAATTTCTTCTCACAACCTTACAAGATTCACTTCCTGTGATGAATGGGTGTAATGAACAGGGGGTTTCCTTTCCACTCCCTTCCACAGAGACACTTATACACTCACAGAGCAACTGAAAGATTATTAAAAATAGGAGACACTGCCCCCTAAAGTAAGATTGCATTTCTGCCACTTTATACGTGAACAGAGGAAACAGGCAAAAACCAGAGACATTTGAAGACCCAAGGTTGGGAACCACTGTTCTAAAGGAACCATATTTTGAAATCAGGATATGCTGAAAGGTCATTAGTTCCTGGCTCTAGAACACTAACTTCAGTTTACTCCTGTGTGAAACAGAGCATGGGCAAATGGTTGATCTCAGCAGTGTGAACAAAGTTGCCTTCAGAGATTTCCCTTCTCCACCCAAACCTTTTATCTCAATGGTTCATACATATTTTCCTATTGGTTGGCTTACACATCAGGCTGGCAGTGTATTAAAGAGAAAGGCTTTGTCAAACTCATTATTCTTGCTCATACTGGAAGGATAGCATTCAGAAGCCTGCTGCTGTCATTTCAACTTGCACAGAAGAAAATTACCAAGGAACACAGTAAAGGTAAACAGACTTGGGACCAAGGACTACTTTGGGAGAGGACTCTGCAAATATATGTCAAACTATATGAGAGTTACATCTTTTTTATGCATTTCACAAAAGAATCACTTTTTACTAGCCACAGAAAGATACACTACTAGCTAAAGATACACACAGAGAGAGAAAGGAGTGCTTGAGATGTACTACTTCTCACCAGAAAGCAAAGATCAATTCAGCATAGAAGGAATTACAGTGGTGCCTCGCATACCGATTGCTCCGTTTTATGATGAAATCGCTTTGCGATGGGCTTTTTGCCATCGCAAGAGTGATCGTTTTACGATGGCCCCTATGGGAAAAATTCACTTTGCGATGATCGCGGGGAAAAGCTCCCCCGCGATCAGGGCAAAGCTCCCGCCGATCAGCTGTGCCTGAACAACAGTTTTATTACTAGTTGCTTTTCATGGAGGACGCATGCCTTGGAGAGGTTCGGGGAATGGGGGGGGAGGGAGAACTCCAGAGTTTTTGCAAGCTTTTCCTTTGGTTCCCCCCTTCCTCGTACCCACACAAAACACACACTGCCGCATCCCAGATCCCACATTCCTTTGGATGTTCTCCTGCCCTCCCCCCCCCGCTATGGACTCTCGATGCATCGCGGGCGCCCCTCTATCTTTTAAACACAACTTTGTAAGACAATCCGCTCGGCTTCCCCTTTGTGTGCTGGGAATCGAGGCAGGGAAGGGGAGGGGTTACAGGCAGGCAGCCGACAAGAGAGCCAGATGTATCCCACCAAAAAGGAGAAATTTGGGGGGGGGGAAGCGGAGATTTTTAAAAAATAATAAAAGCAGATCAACAGGGACAGGATCCAAAAACTCCTCCAAATTCAGAACAGTAGTGGGGGTGGGAAGGTGCATCCAGAAAAGAAAAAGCCACCCCACCCTTTCCAAAAGAAAGACTACAGACATGATCACAAGAGTTGCGGAAGGAGGGGGAAGAGGAGGAGGAGGAAGAGCAA